TGTGTAGGCACGGGTGGAAAGGGGTAAAGGTATTATGTCTAGGGTCTGTGGATATCCCTATCCATGTTGCTTTTATTGCACATACTAATTACGTTTTTCGTTGGCTCTATATAAACTATAATGTACAGTTTAAACAATTATATAATTTTTAACTCAATTTTCTACTATTTTTCTTTCTTGTTTCAGGTTTTACGACTTATCTTGCCATTCCGACGTCCTGAACAAGCCTTGCCAATACATCAACAGGACAGCACACATTTCCAGGTGCGTGCAACAGTACAGTTACTCGTACGCCCTAGTCAAGAACACGGACAGTAACCGAACCAAGCTATTCCCAATGTTTCCTGATCACCAGCACGGTGGTGCCACCTACACCCTGGATTATATCCGGATCCGGAGTGGCTGTAGTTGTGAAGTCACGGCAAAGCGAAGGAGAAAGAAAAAAAATAATAAAGGCAATACTTAACGGCCGTGGTGGGGGGTTTGGAACAGTAAATTTCTTTTATAATATACGGTGGTTCAAAAATTGTCTTTAATAGGTAATAAGACTATGTCAAACTGAAAAACATCTACAACTTACAGATTTTTCTTTAAACTTAGGAATTTTGTCAAATCAGTTATTTACTTTACTCAATATCTTGTGATACATACCGTATGTTATATTAGAGATGTATGTTTTCCACGTATTACTACAGTATTGATGCCAAAGTGATTAGATAATTCGTGATTCGAGGACGTTCAGACTTCTACGAAATATTCCAAGCATTCCATGTGTGTGTGTTCTTGGTGGAAAGTTTTCTTTTGATTTGCTTACAATATATAATGACATTATACTTCTAGTCTAATAAACACAGTGAAAGCGGTAAGACTTTGTCCAAATTGTGTATTATATATAGAGACAATGTGTTAAACCATTTATACCTACGGACTTGTTTACTGAATGATATGTACTCAAAGGACATTTTTCTGTTAAGACCTGGTAATTATTGACACACGCTAGTATTCAGAGCGTCTATTTGGTAGTGGGTGTTCCAAAAATCACGCAAGATGTAATTTTGATAGAAATTTTTTTCGAGTTAATATCTTCAAAAAACAAAAAAAATGCCTGTTTCACAAACGATGTTTTTTGTACCTATATCGGACATTTTTCAACGTTTTTTCATCTTTGGTGTATAATTTTATCAAACTAATAGTGAAACTGTTCGATTTCCTGAAGATGAGCAATTTTTGTATCAATTGCTTTATTTTGCGTATACTGGATGTGTCAATAGTCAACAAGTCTAAACCAGCACATCCCTGTGATCTGGTCTTCAGATAAACGAGCTTGTGTTTTAACTTATTTCAAAATTATGTCAAGTATCAGCTGTAGATTTTTATCATTGTAAGCCGGTACTAAATGTTTGTATTTTGAGTTCATTTTAAACAAGTCAGCTAGCAACTGTATGAATATTTGCCCAATAAACTATACATTTGCTCACTATATTGTGTCTACGATGAATATTATATTAAATTATAATCTGAGCATATAAGTGATTTTCACTCTGGTAACTGTAGATACCTATATACCTCTATTTGTTTTGTTTAACATGAACTCCAAATCTTTAAAATGGCTAAAACTCAACAAGTGTATGTATTTAATCATTCATGTATGTAGTCATACTATTTTTAAGTCAATATGTAAGTTTCAGACTGACAAGTGTTTTGCATTAGATGGATTTTGCTCTCAGTAGCGAAATCTGGGTGTATTATAAAAAAAATGTAAATTTTCTTACAAAAAACAATACCTTTTTTAGCATACCATGTTCATTCTTTAACATTTTTACTTCATGTTTCAAATTTTAAATAATTTGACGGTTTATATAAATAAACATTCGTTTATTAATGTGATTCATTTGAATTAGTCCATCTGATACTAATATTATTATACAAACTGTTGCGTTCTCCATCGTTTCCATCAAGCAAAAAGGTATTTTCACAAGCCTCACTTTCTGCCTTAAATCTTCGTCATTTCTAGTTTATCATCATATACATTATAGTTAAATATATCTATTAATTTTAAAAGCAAAAAAATTTAATGTTAAAACCAGAGAACTACGAACGCATGTTCGTATGTTTCTCTGGTTAAAAACAGCGATATTTTCAGTTTTAATGGTTTTACTAGGTAGGCAACTAGTATTGCGCCTATGTTAGACTCACACTTCTGCATACTCGTTTGCTCCTAGCATATGATTGTATTTGCAATGTTCTTTGACGCCATTCATCTCTATTTTCAAACGTTTGAATTCAATCGTACACAGATCTGTCTGCCATTTGTATTATTTAATCAACACAGTGCGTGGATGATAGTTCTCTGGGTCTCTTTCCTTCAATTTCTCCCTGTACTACTAGCTTTTCTAGCGAATCGTTATTGTTTCGCATAATATGGCCAACATATTTTATATCTGTCTGAATAATTTTGCTTAGTTATTCAGTGATGTTCTGCAAGGATTGAAACATTATTACATTTCGGAATCTGGAGATATGTCAAGCATCATTTTTGTGTTTTCCTTTTTGATGGAAGGCATTCTTCTATGTAATGTAGGCTAGCTTTCGAATTTCTCTATGGTATGTTCTGTCTTGATTTTAATATCTTCCCATTATTATATTTCATTCTTTTGAGTAGCACCCCTCTTTTTTGAGTAGGTAATTTCAGTTGTTGTGAACCTGTAGACTTGTATGCTGTGTTTGTTGATAAGTACCATTTGTTAGTTGATTTGAATGGCATTTGAGATTTTGAGGTTACACATAAAAGACAATATGAAAAAACAAATATTTTTTTAATAATACACCCACCTCTACATTAAATATGGTTACCTTAAGTACTGATAAGTGTGCTGTAAATATTGGTATCATTTTCCCATTATAGAGTCCTGTGTAAATTTATTTCTAAGCTTACTTGTACATATTTCATTTTTATAGGTACCTATTTATTATTATTATCTTATTTGTATTTTTTATATTTATTTTTATAATGTTTTTAAACATACCTCAGTTTGTATTCGAAATAGTAGGTATAGTATTGCAGAAATTAAAAAGTGGGATATTAAGAATTGCTGCAAAAGTTTAATAAATGCGATAACAAATAATAACAATATTTTCAAGCATTTTTATTTTTATTACCCATACCTGTCACCGAGTGATTGCCGGTATAGACTAACTGACCAACGGCTTCGGGAGGATGACTTAGTAAGTGGTAGAACACTTTTTGTCTGGGGTTGAGAAATTGGCTCATAAGGCGGATGAACTTATTACTGGTCAACGGCATAAGGATGAAGAAGGCAACTTGAAACCACTACATTAAAGATCGTCAGATTTCCCTAGAACACTAACCATGCAAAGTACGGTAAATCACATGGCCCCTAGTCCGCGGCGGACCTTTAATGGCCGAGGGGTGCTAAGAATCTCCGCGAGGAGGAGCCACCCGAATGTGGCAACTAACTATATAGAGAACAAATCCTTTTTAAATTCCGGGACATGGGACGTGAGGAGTTTGTTCGAACAAGGAAACAGGCACAACACGATTCAGGAAATGAACAGACTGAACCTAGAAATGGGTTAAAACATGGGTTATGGATAAAACGATATACTACTCCGGAAATGACACCCGAGATCATCTATATGGAGTTGGAATATTTATCTCCAGGAGAATCCAAGCAGCCGTTGTAAATGTTTTTCCCTTTTCCGGATAAAATGCTATTATTACAAATACAGGGTAAGCCAGTGAGCATTAATGTAGTACAAGTGTATGATCCAACTGCAGATAAATCAAAAGCTGGAATAGAACATTTTTATGAACAACTCAAACAACTTCTAGAATACACAAAAAAGGAAGAAATTACTATAATAATGGGTGATTTAAATGCAAAGATAGGAAAAGGCCGAGTCGACAATATAATAGGTGGTTATGGTTTGGGAATAAGGATTGCTAGAGGTGACAGATTGGCTCAATTTTGTCAAGAAGAAAACCTGGCGATTATGAACACATGGTTTCGATTACCACCCCATAGACTATACCTGGAGGTCACCACAGGATAATGTACAAAATTGCATTAGAAATCAGATCGACTTTATTCTAACCAATCTAAGATTTAGAAATTCCATTATAAGCGCTAAGACCTTTCCTAGAGCAGATGTCCCCTCAGACCATAACCTCCTTGTCTCAAAAATGAAACTGAGGGTAGAAAAGATAATAAAATCCAAAAGTGCAAAGGTGAATACTCAGTTATTCAAGATAAATGAAATCTATGCTGAGGCTTCAACTTGTATCAATCAAGAAATGAAGAAATTAACATCAGAAGTGAGAAGCACTGAGAATGTGAACATTATGTGCAGCAAAATCAAAGATTCTATTATAAATAAGGAACAAAATAAAAGAGGCTAAGGAAAAGTGGATGATGGAAACATGCATTGCAGTGGAAGAATTACAGAAGAAGCATGATCATTATAATTTACATAAAAAAGTGAAAAAATTATCTGGAAAATCAAGAACAAATACACATATAACCGATTGACAAAAACAATAAACCTATTAATAATCCAATTGAAATAAAATAAGTATGGACTAAATATACCGAAGATCTTTTCGTTAACACAAGAACGGAACCAACACAAATTGATAACGAGGAAGCTCCAATAATATAAAACAGTTTCGGAACAATGGAAGCTCTGTATAAGGTGTGAGACTATCGATAGTGGTAATGTAAATTATAGGTTTCTATCGATTATTTCCCACCTCTACAAGTTTCATTTCTTTTTATTTCACAAGGTAACTGTGTTTTCTATCTCTTACATTAAAAAGCCGGATGGTAAGGCACTCATCGCTGTATATATTTTAATGTGTTATGTTCCTTTTTAAAAATATCACTTTGTTTTTTCACCCGTTTCCCAACATAATACAAAAAGGCTTAATTTGAATTTCCCACTTCACACAAAATTCAAATATAAGAAGGGTTAATTTGAATTTTCCAGTTCACAGTTTGTCCTATCCTTTACAGCCCTATATTGTGACAGAGTGCCTGGCCTATCCTTCTCTCTGATCAGCATATTTAATTTGTAATTTTAATATATGTTACTCTGTAATGTCAATATATATTGTTTTAATCTATGATTAATAATGTGATATTATTTGCTTAATTATTTGAAAAAAGTTATGCAAATAAAACTCTACTCTCTATAAAATGTATGCTCTTCCAACTTGTACCATTAAAACATTCTACTGCTTTATTACCTTTAAAATTTCTTGTATCTTTCTTCAAACACAAATACAGCCTTGAAATAGGATAGATTAGAATTTACAAATCCAAAAATCAATTTGATTTTTGTTAAACACATTCAAAAAATAGTCTAAAAACTGGACAAAAGGAAAAAACAAAAATTAATATTTTTATGTAATTTATTTCAAATAAATAATAACTATTTCACATATCACTGACCCTGTTGGGCTTCTGGATTAGATGCTGAAGATATTGCCATAAATATCAATAAAGGAACTATGTACATCCACTACAAATAAAAAAGAAGGTAACAGTTAATGTTCTATAATTCAATTATTGATGAAACTTACATATTTTGCTAAAAATGATCTATTGTCTTTGGTTTCACCTTTTCCTTGGCTTCTTTCTCTTTTTCCAATTTCTGGACATAGCTTGCAGTGTCAGGGCTAAAATAATATCAAAAAACAGTCTAATGAATAAGAGCAACTATCTTGGATATATTAAATAAATACATAGAATTACTTCCAATTAAGATTTTTCTCTATGTTTCTACAATTTCATACTTACATGGGTCCTGTTTCTGTATGCCTAACATATACAACAGTATTGAACTGTTTCAGGTTTTCATATGGAACGATAGCTCCTTCACAGGCAGAATTGGAGGCTATAACTGAGCTCACACCTACTACTCTACCCATATAGTCAATAGAAACAGAGAGTCTATCATCTAGCTCAGATTCTACCAACATACACTAAAAAGATATTGATTGATAAAGAACAAATAATTATCTGCAATTATTTATTTTTATAGTGATTTAATTACTTTAAATATTATCCATTACTATGAAGTATATTGAATTACTAATTTACAGAATCTAAAATCACTTCACTTCACAAAATCACAATCAAGTGACAAAATGCAAAAAATGGAAATCAAAAACAAATTATACCAAAGAAACAAGTATTTAGAGTCAACACAAATTATTCTTGAGAGCGTAGGCACAAAATTTCGGGCCAATGCTTTTTAAATGCATTCATTTTTTTCAAATCTTGAGAAAATTAATAAGTATTTTTAAAAAATTTAAATGCAGAATGAAAGAATCTTTCATTCTGTGTTTAAATTTTTCAAAAATATTAGTTTTCTCAGGATTTGAAAAAAATAAATGAATTTAAAAAGCATTTGCCCGAAAATTTGCGCCTAAGCTCTTAATGAAAACATATAGTATTGTTAAAGTAAAAGTCTTGGAAGAGACTCGGAAATTAACAAATTGAGTAAGAAATGTAGCATCCACCCATCTAGTAGATTTTAGAGACAAGTCCATGTTCCAAATGCCAAAATAATAAAATGATGACACTTAAGGAGGATGAAGGCACAAAATGCATATTAAATATATTTACTACTTCATTATAATACTAAAAACACACCAGGAAAGTGAGTTGTTACAAATCCAGATATTATACTTTATTATCCTTAAATATTCTTTGTTCTTTCTGAAACTGGGAATGAATTCTACTATGTGAACTATATATAAAAAAATAATAATAAACAAAGGTACTCACAGCTTTTAATGTGGATATAAAAGACTTTTGTGATCCATCATTTGCTGTAACTATGGCTTTGATCTGATAATAGCTATTTTTTGCAGATAAGTCCTAAAATTGAAGAGAAATTTGCTTTATAATAAATTGTTAAAGCACTAGACACACCGAAATAATTATAATTTTATTTGTCACTTGCCCTTAACAGCTTCTTTTCTTCTGTCAAAAGAGGCTTTTGGTCCACTGTGGCCTGCCCTAGTCTCAAACTCACTATAGTTATGTTTCCTCTTTCAGTCCAAATAGGAGGGTTTTGAAAAGTTAAAGAGTGTTGAAGACGAATGGTTACTGATCCATCATGTTCTAGGGTGCTCTGTAAATAATTAATGAAAGTGTGAAAAATAATCAATGAAAGATGAGTTGTTGTTACTTACTGCTGAGGTAGTGGCTATAATTAAGGCTACAAATACTAGTTTGGTAAATGCAATCATAGTTTCGTGTATTAAATATTTAGTATTTATGAAATATAAAATTTACATTGGTTTTTCAATTCATCATTTGACTTTGACATTTAACTTTTAATACTTGTTCTTGTTCTTCTTTTCTTCTTCCTACATATTCTTCTTTTTTTATTTTTATATGGTCTCTTACATGTTGATTATTGGGCTACATTATAATTAATTATTTGTAAATGCTTTATGCGGCCACTATATTACTCGTGAAGTTCATCGAAGTTCAGCGAGTACGAGAGTGTAGACAAGTACTTCATTTCATACGACTTCGCTTCGTTCTACTTCCGTTTTGTGTCGATTTTTCGCGTCTAAGTCAAAGGGCCCAAAGAAGGTTCTAAGTTGAAAGAAAATGGCTAGTATTGTTAAATATGTTTATCTCAATTAAAATATGTGGACAATTTTAGAAAAGAAGTTTGAAAATAAAAAGAGATAGTCGTAATGAATGGAGAAGCAGTATATTAGTACCTGTTTATAAAAATAAGGGAGATACACAACAATTCACAAACTACAGGGTCATAAAACTACTAACTATAATAATAATTTATAATAATACCATGAAAATATAGGAGAAAGTTATGACAGATACGTGAAGATATCAAAATATCCAAAATGGCTTTAATTCAATGGGTTTGTTATGACAACAAAAGTGGCCTCCATGAAATAAAAAACATCTAGAGAAGTTCTTATAATGAAACCTAAGTTTTAATTATAAGAGTGGTTGATAATTCTTCTAGAAACTATTATAAAATGATACTTTTTGAGAGTACCTAATGCTCATTTGGTTTCAATTGTACATCTCAACTTACACTTTATCAAGATACACTTCTACTCTATAGCAACTCTACTCCATATTAATTTTGATTTATTTTAAGTCGTCTTCCGAGTTGTCCATGTATAAGTTTCGGTCTACCTCTAGTACGTTGTCCCACTGGTCCTCTCCTGTCAAATACTTGCTTTCTTGAATCTTCTATGTAACTCAAAGTTATAGCATCTACGCCATAAACCCTGATCTAATATTCTTCTTAGAATCCATAACTCGAAACGCTTAAGTAGATTTTACAACAAATTATCAGTGCAAGATCTACCAGGCGTAAATCGACTTTGGTCTTCGCTAATTATATGTCCTACATCAGATGCATCTTGTATTTTTCCATTTATTATCTTTCCAAACAATCTCCCGAAAGTAGGTAGGACAATCCTCTGTAGCAGTTTGGATCTTTTCGATTACCCTTTTTAAAGATTGACACTTGGTGAGCAGTATTCCATTTAGATGGTACTTTAATTTGTTGGCAGCTTTGATTCATTAGAAAAGTTATTTGTTCTATTAGGAGTGGACCTCCTGTTTTAAGTAACTCTACAGATAGATTGCCAGGCCCTGGAGATCACCCGTTTTTCATTTTAATTAACGCAGTACGGACTACGGTATTCATCTCCTATTATATTCAAATCTGGACTACTGGAGTAAATTTTTGTAGAAATTTTCCCACTTTTCTATAGGAATTAAGTTGCTTAAGGAGTTATGGGTGTTTTTATTTATAGTAGTGATAGTTCTCCATGCGTCCGTAGTTTGAGAACCCCCAATTAAATTTTCAACTTGGATACATTTTTGTTTTTTGCTTCGTTTATTTGATTGCGTACTTCTCCGTTTTTCCTTTGATATATGTTACTTTACTGCTAGATGTTTTATTTGTTAGCCATTTCTTATAGATTTTGTTTTTTCTTGTATCATATTTTCGGTAAGCCAAGATGGTTTATGGTGTTTTTTTTTGTCGTTGTTCTCTGTTCCTAATACTTCATAAGCATTGTTTTTATTTATCGTTTTCTTGTATTCTTATTCTACATCCATATTTCTTTGCATCTCATTCAGTTCCTTTTCTAATCTAGATTGAAAAAGATGTTTAATACTTGGTTGAAATAAAAGGTGCAGTTTATATCTTTCCGTTTTGTACTGTGTAGTATTGTTTCTTTCACTTTCGGTGTTCTGTTTGTAGTGTTGTTTAAAAGGTCACAACAGATTAGCTAAAAGAAAGTAGTGATCGGTCCCACAGTTAGATCCTCTTTTGACTATGCAGTCTTGGCACTTAAATTTTGATTTCTGTCTCATTATTATATACATAATCGTCTTCTGTTGGAGTGAAGGTCGTTTCTAAGTGTACCTATTTATAAATATCTTTATGTTGGAATTGGGTATTCATTATTTTTAAACCCAAAAGTTGACAGAACTCAATTAAGCTGTCCCCTGAAACATTTTTAACTATTTCTCCCTGTCGTCCCACCACGTCATCGTCTATTTTGAGAACCTACTCTGGCATTTAGGTCTCCTTACAGTATATACGCTATACATACATACCACTCGAATGAATCTGGAACTCACGAATAACTTTTTCTGGTGTAAAGTTAAAAAGGAGACTGTCACCTTGTCTTAATCCGTTTTTGAAGCGGAAGGATTCTGAGGTGTCGTTCTGGATTGTAACTACACTGTCTGTCCGTATGAGTTCTAATACGCTGGAAAGATATTTGAAATTCTATCATAACTTTGAATAGGTTCTGTCTAATAACTGAGTCATAGGTTCCTTTGAAGTCCACAAATATATGATGTGTCGACTTCATTTTCCCAGGTTTTCTCTAAAATCTTTCTCTCACTGTGAAAATTTGATCAGTCCTTGTTTTATAAGCTCGACAGCTGCATTGATATTTCCCTTCTATTTGTTCTGCGCAAGGGACCATTTTGACATTTCGATAGTACTTTTGTACACAATATATACCGAAATACTTTGGATACTCTGACTTTTGTATCCCATTTTGAGGAAGGTAATGCCTTATAATTGTCGCATACCATCATGTCCTCCTTGTCGAGTTAGACTAGTATTGAAAGCAGGTAGCTTATTGGTCGATGGAGGATTATTGAAAGTACTGATGGGGGTAGTTATATTAAGGTCTATAGCTACTAGCAAAGGATTTACTAATTGTGGTAGGGGGTAAACAGATCTGTCTCTATTTTCAGGACCGTCGTATATGTTAATGAGCTTAAATACTGGGTTTTTTGGGTTCGCTGAAACTCTAGTGAAATAGGAAGAGAGTAGAAGCTGACGTCGTATGAAAAGAGGAGGTTCCAAAGAGCTCTATAGATTCTCAGTAACATATTTTCTTCAGCTCCCCATTGATGATGTGCAAGTGTTTTCAATATGTTTAGTTTACCAGCACAGCTGTCTTTTAGATTTTCAAGTGTATTTTCCAGTTTAACTTTTGATCGAATATTAGCCCCAAGATTTTATGATTATTTACTATAGGTAAAGGAACATCGTTTAGATATATTTCCGGGTTTTGAACGTTTTGCTTTTTGGTAAATCTTAGTAACTCAGATTTTGAGCTGGAAAGTTTGATGCCGTGTTGTGTGGACCAAGAATATATGTTGTTTACAGCATCTTGAATAAGTTTTGATGTACTGGATATGCTTTATATGATTTGACTCATTACTGTTTATTGCAACTTTAAATTTACGGTGATTTAAAAAGTTATCTATGAACATATAAATATTGCCTGTAATATTATTATCGATAAGTTTCTGTAATATTACATTTTTTGGAATAGTATCGGAGGCGCTTTCACTATCGAAGGCTGCCACGACTGTATCATGTTGCTTCTTGAAATTCTAAGTTATATGGTTTTGTAGTAATACTAAATTGTCCATTGTGCTTCGATGTGGTCTAAATCCCGATTGAATGGAGCTAATTATATTATGATTTTCAGAACATCAGTTAAGTCTATTATCGATTAGTTTTTCCATTAATTTGCACATGCAACAGGTTAATGAGATCGGTCTGTAAGAGGATGGCTCTAGGATTGAAGGTTGATCGGGTATTTTTATTGGAAGAATAATGGATTGTCTCCACAGGTTGGGAAACTTTTCGTTGATCCAAAGATGATTATAAAATGAAAGTAATTTTGTGAGTCCATTGACGGCTGGATGCAAAAAGCTAATTGACTGGCAGGATCTCTTAATAACACTATATGGCGAAACAAGACACATTGACACCAAGATGAAGTCAAGAATTTATAAAGCCAGTTAAGACCAATAATGACATACGCCTCAGAAACAACACCGGAGACAGCCACAACACAACGGATACTTTGTGTTGTGGAAAGGATACAACGGCAGAGATGAAAGTACTGAGAAGAATTACAGGAAATACACTGAGAGATTGAAAGAGAAGTGAAGACATTAGAAGAAAATTTATAATGAATAGACACATAATAGAATGGAATAACCACATAAGCAGAATAGAGGAGACCCGTATCATCAAAATAGCAAGAGATAAGTCATTAATTGGCAGAAGAATTGGACAACCTCACAAAATGGAATGACAACCTTTCATAGAGGTATTAATCGCCAATGAACAAGCAGAATTGCTTACAAAGAGTAGTCAGTTGTAGTAACACTGTCTTCTACGGCACCTAGATTGGTTTTAATTCCTGCTACATTTTGACATATTTTTAATTCTTTATATGTTTCAAGAGACACCCTTAACATTTAGGTGTTTTTTTTATATGCTCCCATTATTTCTGCAAAGTTCATTAACATGTTTTCCTGGCTAATTTTAATATTAGATGCAAAAGTTTGCTTTTATTTTTTTTTAATGCACAGTAACACCTTACACTACATTTTTTAATTTCCCATCTGTCAGTTTGTTTTTATTAGATAAACTATAATAAAGTGACATTTACTTTACTGATCCTTAGTACTGTATTATAAATTTATATTTTATTTTGAAAAAATTATGGGGAATTATGCTAAAATTCAAACCCAAGAGATATTTTTTTAATTTTTATTATAGTCATCTTATAAAACAATTAACTTATTTCTTAGTGGCCGCAGCTTCATCTTCCCTCATGTAGTTCTGCAAAACTTCTTGTTTCTTTGTGGCAATACGTTCCTCACGTCTTTCCCTAGCTTGTTTTACCTTCATCCTTCTGGCATTGGCCTGGTCTGCCAACATCTTGGCACGGGCTTTCTCTGCCTTCTTCTTGTGGATGTATTCCATAAGGACACGCTTGTTCTTGAATACATTACCCTTAGCCTTCATGTACAGTGAGTGGTATAGATGTCTGTCAATTTTTTTTGCTTCCCTGTATTTTTTAAGGAGCCGACGCAAGACTCTCATGCGTTGAATCCATAATTCCTATAAAATAAGAAAAAAATATAACACAGTGTAAAGAAATCAATAAAAAAATTAATAAACTTCCAACAAAAAAATTTGGGTAAAAATCATTTATGCTGTTTGGAAGAACCTTAGAATAAATGAGTCAAAGTTTATAATAATAAGGAATGATATACATGGCATTGTCAAAATTATATGGGTAATTACTTACATTAGTAAGGATAGTCGGATTAGTCTAAAATTTGGACAGTGGATTGTTTTATTTTTTATTCACTTTTCAATCTATACATTTTTTTACGCTGAGCTATAGTTTTTCTGTAATTCGCATTTAAAAAACTGATATTTTGACATAAATTTCAAGATGCCGCCGCCATTACAGCTGTTGTCAATGATGTGCGTATGCCTAGTACATACTCTTGATCCAATGTTGCCACACTTTTCAAATATATTGTTTATTGTGAAAATATTAATTCTCAAATACAATCATAAAGGAATAATGATAATGAGTAATATTTCCATTTTCTGTTTCTAAGGGATACATATAACTGTATTTCATTTTGTTATTAACTGATGTTATTACGTATAGATTATAGCTTATTTCGTTTTATGTTGTATTTAGTTGGATGCATTAGTTATCAACTTCTTTATTAGTTTAAATTGTTAGATGATATGAGTAGATTAGGTTTTAATTTGTTTTTTTATTGGTACTTCATTTTGCTTATTTAAAGTACGCCGTAGCGTGTTTAACCACAGAATAAGAAACAATCATAATGCTCACTTTGAAATGCCGCCTTTAAAGTTTTTCAGCACGCTATCGCCATGTTTTAAACGGAACCATAGACTCGAATTGAGAAATTTGTGACAAGATACGACAAAACTGTAATTTAAATTTTTAGGGATTAATAATTTAGTTAATTTGAAATAATTTTTAATAATTAATAATAATTTTGAAATAAATTTAATAATAATTGGATTAGTTTGGATTGGTTTTATTATGTTATTTAATAGTCAATATCGAGTTTTGCAAAAAACACTAATCACTAATTTATATGGACATATATTCTTATTAAAACTTAAATTCAATATAGTTACACCGCAAAAAAAATATTAAATCATATGTGGTACACTTTTAAAAAACAACGTTAAATCATATGTACTATACTCTTATTAAAACTTAAATTAAATATATTTACTCTGCAAATAAAAACAATAATAAGTCATATAGAGTATACTCTTATTAAAGTTTAAATTCAATATATTTACTCCGAAAAAAAACAAATCTATATGTGGCAACATTGAACCAGCGTGGAATATCTTATGTTGTGCGCAAACGCGCTTGACTTGTTCTTCCAAATAAATGCCATTTTACAATATTTTATATTTTTGGATAATTTAACAGAGAAAATGATTGGTATTTACAATTGATTTATAAATTTTATATAACTTTTACGGCTATTTCGTATTTCGATATTTTTCTCTTGCTAATTTTTGATTTTCTATAGTTTTTATGAAATTTTTTTCAACTTTTTGTATGTTTCCGTAGACGGAAACATGAAAATTTTGCCTTTTTTTTCATTTTTCAAGCTAAGTCCCCGAAAAATTCGCATTTTTAGGGACCCTTACTAATGTAAACAATTACCATTATATGATACAAAAAATAGATTTAAACAAAGAAAATAAAAGATACATTTGGATAATATCTAGTCATTCAAAATGAAGAAATCAAGCAGGTAATGTCAAAATATCTATAGACTGAAAAGTCTCAAAAGAGATCAGAATGATACATCTAGAGGTCCTTGTAGTATAAAACAAAACCATGTTTGTACCATTAAGTGTTTAGAAGCTGATATGGGGTATGTCTGTAAAAAATACATCAAATCTAAACCACAAAATGCTAGTCTGTGCACCCATCTTTTGTCTTTATGATTATTCCTACCTTTTGTGGGGTACGGGCATTAGCAGTACCCTTTCTTTTACCAAAACCACAGTGCCTTCCTTTTCTGCGGGCTTCAGTGTTTTTGCGAACACGGGCACGGGAATGTACAGCTACGGGCTTCTTAATAATAAGACCATCCTTGATCAACTTACGGATGTTCTGTCCTGTTGATAAAAATATGCATAAGTACAGGTTAGGATGTGGATCAAAAATTGAAATACATACTTGAGTTGGTGTTCGCAATTTCGTTGATTTCATTAGGGTCCAACCAAACTTTCTTTTTACCGCATCGCATAACAGAGGCTGCTAGCCTCTTCTGAAGTTTTAAGGAACTGTAAAAAGAAACAAATATAAAAAATGGTGGCCACCATGTGGTGCAATATTTTGCTACGCGCGTAAAATTAAATTTACAATCGGGCGACCACAAACCATACTTTAAAAATTAATAAATTACTTAGATTTTTTATAAAATATGGTCGCCAATTGTTAATTATAAGCAAACAATAATTATTTTCAACAAACCTCATCGTGCAAATGCACCTCTCAACGTGTCTTCCGTAAAAGAATTCTTGTCGCTAACTTCACATTTCATCATACTATTGACAAGATTCATTGTTGCCAATCTCACAAATCAACATACAAAAAAGAAGATTAAATTTTGCGCAAACAAATATGTATTGATATTGATTTAAAATTTGACGCAATTAATCAATAAAATAAATTATATATCCTTTACAGAATTACTTACAGAATCATAGTATATAAATCATTTGAAGGATACAAATTCAGTCTGCTTCTTTTTCTTTTGCTTGAAAAGACTGGATTTTCCTTTCTGTCATTTCCGAATTTTTATCTGCCCTTTCCACGTCTCCACCGTCTCTCACCCAAATAGTCAAATCCAGTAACCAGTAATATCAATTTGAAATTAAGTTGCATCATTTAAAATTAACAAAATATTTCAATATTATTTTTATAAGTAGTAAAAAGACTGGTTTTAATTAAATAATAAAAGAATCGAAGATGTCAGGGGAAAATAAAGAACGTAAGGAATTTACTTTTAAGGTTACCTGCCACATATGTTAATACCATAAACTTAATTTTTTAGCGATATACACTTCTGATAGTCAAGGTAGTGACGAAAATGGGGATGGCAGCGAACAAAAACCCTTTAAGACCATTCTACAAGCAATGCGGAAAGCTGGAGCTGAACCTTTTCCAGTTATTTATGTAGATGGAAAAGAAGGTATGGTATATGATGATATAAAAATTGCCGGTAAGGCAAAACTTCGAATATAAAATAAATTTAATTAACACGTTAAGACACGAACAAGTCCCTTAATTGACAATTTAAGTTACAATTGTTACATTGGGTTCAATGTTGGTTAACAGAATCCTTCACATGACCTAATTCCCATATTTTCCAGGACTAATATTAATGATTTCCTAAATGAATAATATTTTGGGATACTACACGTATACTACATGTATTTTTCAAAGTTTGTAATCATACTTTTTATGATGCAATACTTACCAATGATTCAAGATCCAATAGTTGTTTTTCTTTGTAGAGGGAGTCAAGTATGAACCAGCTGCAAAGTCACAATTGAAGAAAATACAGAAAATTTGGGTAAGGGAGAGCTATAAACAAGCTGACAAATCCAAAAAAGAAGAGGAAGATGCAGAAAAGAGGATCAAAAACTTAGAGGATGCCAAAAAGATTGTTATCAGTGAGGATAAGTCTCTGCCAGAAGCCAAGAGGATAAAGATTTCAGATGGTTTGTAACAATTTAAAACAAATTTTTATCAACATTGATATTTATTTCATTAGTTTTTTTTTAAGTATCCTAAGTATTGTTTTTCTGTGATTCAATCAACAGTTTTTTGCCACATCTTCATAGGTATTTATTCATTTTTCTTGTTTTTTTGTTTATAAACAGAAATAATGTATATATTCTTGGTATCAATATATTTTAGGAAGTAAAAACAGGGATAAAAGGGTAAAAATATATGGCTGGGCCCACAGGATTAGAAGACAAGGGAAAAACCTCATGTTTGTAACATTGAGGGATGGTACAGGATTCTTGCAGTGCATACTTAATGATAAACTTTGCCAGACTTACAATGCAGTGGTCCTACAAACAGAATCTTCAATAGTTTTATTTGGAATCATCAAGGAAGTACCAGAAGGAAAAATGGTAAATATTAGCATTTATAACTTCACCTAACCCAACATTGATAGAATTTTTGTATATTTTAAATATTTTTCTTACAGGCTTACTCAAAATTATTTGTATTTAACCATTTTTTAAATAACAAATGTCAAAATAACTTCTTTCAAAATAATGATTTTAATGATACATTTTAAAAAAATTTGTCGTTTCTTTAAAAAAAAATCAAATCAGGTTCAAATCTGGGCTTTGAGCTGGCCAATTGATTTTTGGCACAGCAATGGTTTGCAGGTAATGCGTTACCATCCTGGCAACATGTGGCTGCATGTTATCTTGCCTAAAAATAAAGTTCTTGCCTACAAACCCAACAAAAGGCATTACATACGTGTCTTGAATTTCGGTAATGTATCAGTGAGCATTCAATCATCATTATCATTCTGGCTAAGCACATATTCCCATATTTCTCATGTCTTTATCGATATTATCAAGGTACCTTGTTCTGGGTGTTCCTCTTCTTCTTTGGCCCATTCAATCATTAGAACATTCAACCATTCTCTATCAATAAACACAAGATCAGTACAGCCTTCAAATGAAATGGCTACCAAAAACATTACAATTTTTTATTTAAAAGTGTGTTTGTACCCTTGTAATGACATTTGTTATATTGTTTAATAGATCTCTGGAAACCTCTATGTTTCCTTTTTCATGAAAATAAAGTTATGTGGTTCCTATATTTAAAACTGGTCAGAAAGACAACATTGAAAATTGTTGTAGCATTTGTTTACAATCTGCAATCCCTATGCTCTTCGACTGTCTTATAGCAAAGCAACTTTCTTGGTTATGTAAATGCTTAATATCTCAATTACAACATGGTTTTCATAGCAAAAAATCCACTGCAACAAACTTGGTTGCTATCAATCTGATGTATCTCATATGGAAGACTGTAAACAGGTAGATGCAATATACACAGATTTTTCCACAGCATTTGATCTTGTAGATCACCAAATACTTTTGGGCAAATTAATTAATGTAGGCTTTCATGTCAAGTTTGTTGAATGGATTAAAAACTCTACACCTGGAAGAAGTTAAAGAGTCAATATAGTTTGTCATCTGTCTGACAGTATCTCAGTAACATCTGGAGTTCCTCAAGGAGACCACACTTCTCCACTTCTTTTTAATATCTTTGTTAAAGAAATCACTTCCTGTTTGCTAAATAGCAAATGTCTAATGTTGGCAGATGACTTGAAATTTTGGAAAGTTATATATAGTTTAAAATATCAAGCCTTATTACAAGATGACCTAGACCAACTACAAAATTGGTGCAATCCGAACAAACTCCACTTAAATGTAAAAAAATGTTTTATAAGTTTTTTTATAGTCCATAGAATTAGAACAAGCTATACTGTTAATAATTGCCACTGAATTACATTTCTTCTATTCTGGATTTAGGTGTTATTTTTGATAAGAAGCTTACTTTCTGTGACCACATAAACTCTATTTCAATCTTCTTCGTTATCTGTCATCTCCATGACAAAGGTTCAGCCTGAACGAGTCCAGTTGAACTGCATCCAAACCATTCTCTGAGGTTTCTCAGCCAGGACATTCTTCTTCTACCTATGCTGTGCTTTCCTTGAATTTTTCCCTGCATTATTAGTTTTAGGAATTCATACCTGTCACCACCTGTTATGTGATCTAGATATTGCAGTTTTCTTATTTTGATCTCCAGTATTAATCCAGTATATTCCTACTACTCTCTATTTTTCTTAGTACTTATTCATTGTTTATTCTGTCTGTCTAGGAGATTCTCAGCATTCTTCAATATGTCCACATTCCAAATGATTCCAATTTATTAAGATATTGTTTATTTAAAGTCTATGTCTCCACACCATACAAAAGAACAGAAAATACATATCACTTAAGTACTCATTTTCAAAGATTTAGGCTGAGGTCTCTACAACATAATATTTGTTTAACATTATTGAATGCACTTCTAGCCTTTTCTATTCTAACTCAATTTCTTTGGTATAATCATTTGTTTCATTAATGTTTGCCCGCAAATAGTTATAAGTCTGAACTTGTTCTATTGTCTTATTATTTACATGTAGATTGATGTATCTCATTTTTCTTTTATATAACCATGAATTTTGTTTTCTTTGTGTTTAGCGACTGACCAAATTCTTCACTCGCTGCAACAATCTAAAATTCTTTGTAGATCTGTAATATTTTCTGCTGTTAGTCAGTATTTCATCTGGTCCTACTGCTTTCCCACTTTTGTTATTTTAATCCAGTCTCTTCAACGAAATATTCATTATCTTTTTTGTGTTGTTTGTCATTAAACAGATATTCTATATAGTTTGCCCATACCATCAATTTGTTTTCTGTATCCATTACTGTGTCTCCCTTTTCATCAACTAGTATATTTTGTTTGTATTCTGGTCTTCTAGTTAATTATTTTATTTTCCTGTGTAAATTAAAGCTGTCATGTTTATTTTGTAGCATATCTATTCGAATAGCTATTCGAATTTGTCCATGTGTTTCGTTTTGTGTTTGTTGGTACAATGATTTTTGTATTTCAATAAAGGCATCTTTATTTAAATAAATGCATCTAAACTTCTTTGTTTCGTTACTAGTAATTGCAAGTATTTCTCCATTGATTCAACAAGACTAGTTGCTAAGAACTGTTTTGGAATACTGTTCAGTTAATTGGTCACCCTATTTTCAGAACCATATTGATACCATAGAAATAGTCCAGCGTAAATTTTTGAGATATTGTGCTTAAAATGTCCACACTACTATTGAAAATCATGATTATTGCCATATCAAACAACAATTATCTTTACCCTCACTGAAGAACCATCGTGACATATCAGGAGCTATATTTATATATAAGATCATACATGAATTTGTTGATCTTTCAAACCTGTTAGGCCAGATTAACTTTAATGTTCCCCATCAAGCTCTATATTACCACAATGTTTTCAATATTCCTTTTCACAGAACAACCTATGGTATTCACAACCCATTGGATAGATACATGGGGCTATTAAATGTTGTCAATTTTGATATTTTCAATGTAACTTTAACTTAGTTAAAAATATCTCTTGCTTTGTGATATGTATATTTTTGAGTAAATTTTGTTCTTGTTATATTTTGTTTGTTATTTTAGTACGTAAGATTTTTAGTCTCATTTTTTAAACTTTTTAATATTGATTTTATATTATAACTAATTTCAAGTTTTCAATTCTAACTGTGATATTGTATATTGTAATTTAAAATGTTAATGGGGTTATCTCGTGTATTAAATAAATAAATAAATTACCAAGCCTCCTCTAAAAGCAACTTGTGCTTGTTGAACACAAACAGCATATCATTCACTTCGGCATTGTCTATGTGCTGCTGCTAACGAAGCTCCTGTTGCTGGGCAGAGAGCCCTTAGA